GAACTGTCTCTCATGCACGAGGTGATCTTCTCATTGCCGTGCGGGATTTATGGTTTTCCATCAGATATCACAGTGATAACGAAGGCTAATCACGGTGGACTGCTCTTGACCGAGCGGCAAGTTGAATGTGCTCTCAGAAAAATGGCCAGAGGTTGGCTCAAGCATTGGTAGTGATGATGGGCGGGTTACCACCTTCTCTAGGGCTACTCTATTAGGTGTCGTATCATGTAAGCTCTCTCGGGACTGAAGCTGCATGCTCATGGGTCGAATCGTATGTGAGGAGTTACTGCAACTTTCATGAACACCTCGCTGAGCTGATGAACTACATTGACGTCAATTTGGCTGGCTTCCGGAAGCTCCTCAAACGGCACGACAAGAACATTCCTAGGCTCTTCCATGCTAGGAGTACTCCCTTCCTTGGGTGAGTCTTTCGGTCCATGGTCATCATTATGGTCTTCTCCTCCTCAGTTTTCATTCGATCGTTACTAGAGTTACTATGAAGGTGTTTGTGGTAGCAGTGAAAATCCATGCACTGTTGACAGAGTGCTTGGATGAGATAAACCGACAGGCCCAGAGTCCGTCGACTGAAGTGGAGACACTGCGATCCCTCCTAGGTGAGTTCGACAAAGTGCATCTCGCTCGGTTCGAAAGGATGTGTTTCCAGGACCAGCCCCGGTGCTTGGTGCGGAGACTGCCACAGTCGCCCATCTTCACTTTCCGAACCTCTTTGAGCCTGTGGATGATGCGGTCCAAGATGCTCAACAGCAGCTTCATCATTATGAACTACGAGTGTGCAACGCCGAGGCTCCCCTCCAACCGAGAGCAACGGTGGTGAAAGAGGGAGTGTTCAACTGAGAGGCACTGGCTAACGTCAGGAGTTGCCTACTGAAGAATGCATGTTAGTAGTGACCCACGAGTAAACTCACTAGAGTTCGTCATCGCCTCGAGTATACAGCAGAGGGCAGGTCGCGATTTGCTGGGAGCGTATCCAGATGATGATTGCTCTCTATATTACGGTTTCCCAGAGGGTAGAAGTCTATTCCCTTTCATGCTGTGTTGAGGGTTTTATAGCTGCTCATAGGACTATCGACTTGTCGTTGTTTATCATGACTGACACTACTACCGCTACTCCAGCCAACAGTGAGGCTCCTACCGAGGAGGATGCTGCTGCTAAGGTTGAGCTCCCCGAGGGCGCAACTGTCCGGAAGGTGGTGGCTGCTCAAGAGGATGATGGAATGGATCATACGCCTACTGAGGATATGAACAAGCTCGTTCATCTTAACGCATTGGAGCCCTCTCATGTTGGCACCATCAAGGACGTCTCTGCCTCTAACAGGCTCATTCAGAGGAAGTATGCTCCTAAGGACTTCCACTGGTCTAAGTCGGCTGAGATACACAGACTCCGAAGGAAGCAGATTGTGGAAGCGTAGAGTTGCTTTTCTTGCAGTACTCGCCAACGTATGGCTCCTCTCCAGGCACCCAGAGATCATTGGAGTTCAGGGTGCCGACAACCGTGAAGCTGTGTTCGCCACTTTCACTGTCCTAGTCCAGTTCATTATGTGCGTCCTCGTCAAGGACTGGTCATGGCCTTCAGTCATTCTTGCCACTTGGGTAGAAGATATCCGTCATTTTCCTGCACTACATTTCTCCTCCTCATCAT